AAGATACTATGAATCTTTCCATGAACTTTTTAAAGACCTCTTATATTACCTGAGTTAGAATTATTTCCCAATACCCAGGTAGATGTTTGAAATTCCTAGTAACAATTTCTCAGTTATTGAGAAACCTCATAAAATCCATCACTTCTCCTTTGTTCTTAGTGTCTGCCCTCACACCTGCATTGTCCACCTGGTCCTTTCTGAAGGGGTGTTTTCTAGGCCTGGTGACCAGCAGCCTCCCTGACAGTCTCATTCTCCTACATGAGGCCTCCTGATTCCTGGAGCCCATGACTTCATCTGACTTGGTTTCAGACATTTGGATGGAGCACATCCTCCAGGATTTTTCTGAGAAAGGGAATATAGGGAGTAAAAATTTTGGCAAATGTGCAGGTCTGAAAATACCCTTTTTCTATTGATACAGAAGCTAGTAGTTATGCTTGAGAATTTTGATGCTGTTCTGAATCCTAATTCTTTGTATACGACCTCGTATGTCTCTCCAAAAGTCTTTATGATTTCTCCTTTAATCCCAGTGTCCTTAAATTCCATGACCCTGGTTCTTGGGGTGAATATTTTTTTTTTATTCACTGTGCTGGACATTTAGAGACAATTTTCTCATTAGCTGCAAAAATAGGGGGCTTTATTTCCTTTCTCTAGAGCTATTGACTCTCAGAAGGATATGTCTGGCTGCTGAATTTCAGAAAGCAAGTGGAGGGAAAAGCTAAGAGTCTCTGAATTCAAGGACAGAACTCTTACCAAACCTTCATTCCCAGCCCGCACCTCATTTTTTCTCTGTCACTGCCCAGTGTCCCTGAGTAGAGGGATTCTTAGACACAGTTTTTCTGGAGACTGAGCCTCCCTTTCCTTGGGGGATAATCAGTTACCTGATAAAAGGAGTCGTGGATGGAACTGGGACAGCAAGAGCCTCCTTTTTCAGCATCATTTTTCACTTTCCCTGACACTTGCTATTTCAAAATATGGAATCTAATGGGGCTGTAGGGACACAGACTGACTTTTCTTCTTTCATATGTCTTCCTCTTCTGACACTAACATTACAACTTCATCTCCTCTGCTGGGTTATTTTTACACTCCAGTCTGATTTCTGTGTTTTAGAAATTTGTTGAAGAGTTGCTGGATATTTCCAAGCACTCCTCTCCTCCTGCTTTAATACGACTAAACTTCATGCATAATTAGGTTATTATTATTTTGGTGGAATCCTATCAGGAGGAAAAAAAGTATGTTTCTTATCTGCTGCTTAGCTAGAACTCTTTAAAGGTAAATTTCTAAAGTAAAGTTATTCAGAAATAATAAAATTATTGACCCCCCCAAAAAAAACTTCTTATTTTTTCATACCCTAGTTTTATAGATACAAACTTCTAGAATAAAAAAAATTCCTTTAGATACATCTTCTGCCTAAATGTAAACATCTTTCTTATGAATCTAACTTTTTAGAATACTTCCCTGGCTAGAAATGATCTCAGACAGCATCACTAAATTTCTAGGAATTTCATTGGGACCTCCAGGAGAAGAGTTTACAATTTCCCAGCATTAGAGTACTAAATTTTCAGAATGAGGAAAGGAATTTGCAAGAATATGCCTACTGTTCAAAGTGGTCTTTTCATAATAAAAACAATACGCAATCCCAGGCCAATTGATGCTGGTTGT